TATATATATATATATATCTAAATTATAATTTATTTTAATTTCTATAATATATATATATATATATATATATATAAATGAAAATAAGCTATATTTTGGAGGTCATGCTGGAGGAATCACTTCCTCCTAATTTACCGACGGATATATCCCTCAATAATGAATAGTTTATTTACCGACGGATATATCCGTCGGTAAAACCAAATTCCACAACTATCTTAAATCTGTCGGTAATTTCCGTCGGTAATTACTCAATTTCCGACGGCTCTGTATCCCTCGGTAAATATCCCTCGGTAAATCAGAAATTTCCGGTAGTGGTTAAAAGGATAACTTGTCATTTCGTATTGATCTTATTTGATGTTTTATAAAAATGTCAAAAAAATATGTGAAAATTAAGTTAAATTTAATATTTGATGTTTTAAAGGTTTTAATTCAAAATAAATTTTGAGTTTATTTATATTGAATTTTGTTCCATTACTAAAAATTACTAAAAATTATATATATGACAACTATGCAATTCTAAAAATTTGTTAAAAAAGGTTTATTTTACTTTTTAACATTTGTTGATATTCCTCTCTTTAATTAGAAAATATTTTTTTTTAATTTTTATGTTTCAATTTTGACTATGAAAATTTAATTGCATAATTTCTTTTATGCTACAACTAAAAAAATTTTAACATTTTTAACATGTTCATATCATCATATCTATATGCTAATAAAAAATATTACAAAGAGATATACATAAATTAAATACAAAAAATTATTATTATTCCTAATAAACATCCTCAAATTCCTATCTCATTTCATATGAACAAACCATAAATCCCACTACATTTTTCCAAGATAACCAAACAAAATTATCATGCTTATCATCAAAGCAAACAACATAGTCATATCACATTTGCTTTTCATCCTCTCCACATATAGATTTTCTATAATTTTCCTATCTTCTTATAATTTTTTTAATAACTTTCATAATCATTATGTAAATTGCATTAATTTCCTGTCATTTACATCTATCCATTGAAAATGGTTGCAATGTATAATCCTCTACCATAATAAATAATTTTTTTCACAAAATAAACAAATTGAACTAACCGATTATAAAAAAACTCCGACCTTACTTTTCACACTAAATTGTTCTAAAACAACATTATTAGATTTCTGTAAGATGTTATAGATTTCTGTAAGATGGTATGAGAATTTTTTCATTACCACATACACTTTTTATGGTTGAAGATATTAAACGGTGATTATAAACAAGAAACCTTAGGAACTTGATAATTTAGATCATACATCTTTATAACTAATTATGATATTCTACTAAATATTTTTTTTATAGATATTTTACTATACTAGGGGAATCATGTTAAATACACCACAATAGTATCCTTATCACATCATAACGTCTTATCTTATATCCCAATATTTATAATTTAAAAATATGATTTTTCATTTTTATTTTTTGAAATTTTAATGTTTTGAATAATATTAAAAAATTCATTATTTTTTAATATTAAATATAAATATCATTATACACATTATTTAATAATATAAGTAATATAAAAATAATAATTTCTTTATAATAATTATAAATAACATAATAATTAGTAATGAATAAAGATAAAATAAAATATTTAATTATTTTAAAAACAAATATTTTATCCAAAATTAATTATATACAATTTTAAAAATTTTAATTTATTTTAGCAAAGAAATTACGAAAACGGCTTTAGAGTCCACTGTTGTTATCCTGGTCCCATTCACTCCTAACAACTTGTGGCGTGGCACGTGTTACTGTCCAACCTTCCCACCAACAGAGCAAATTCACAAAAAAAAAAAAAAAAAAAAACGAAAAACAAATCTGCACCAAATATTTCGAAGAAGTAAAACGTTGCTTCCTCATATTCCCTTCCGCTTTGAACATTCGCAGAAGTCACAAAACGAGACTCTCTCCCGAGCGTCAAGCACCACCCGCAAAACCCCCAATTCCCACTCTTCGCGCAGAACATTCTAGAAATTCTCGTGAGCTTGTCGCGGTGGAGCTCCTCCTTTTCGGCGCCGAACCAGAGCTAGGGTTTCGAATCGATTCACAAGCCAAAACGTAAACCCCTCTATCTCTATCTCTCTCTATATCGCCTTTTCTCTTTTTCTCGCTCAATTCGCTTCTCGCATTTATTCTCTTTTCCTTTCTGCGGGATTCACGTTTTCCGTGACGTATCTCGCCGTTTTCATTATGGCATGTTGTGTATTAACTTTATTCCTCTTTACATATTGATGCGCCTGCCATTTTTTTTTAAATAATTAGGGTTTTCCATATATTTTATCAAACGCTGAATTTAGGGTTTTGCAATTCCGGTGTCTATGCCGGGGGAGGGATAATTTATATGCTGCTATTTGTTCAAATTAAGGATTCGTCTTTTTTTTTTTTCTTTTGTTTGTCTTACCTCTTTTATGCTTGATGATATGAGAGTGCATTTGTTCGTAAAAAGAATTTGTTAATTTAATTATATTTACTTTGTGGGATTATGATTTTAGTTCTTTATTGGCCGTTGCAATGATGAAATAATATTGATCCAATGATCGTGATTGGAAAGATACAGCTTATTATTATTATTATTATTAAGTGTGACTTTGTACCAGTTCTTGAAGTGACTGGTAATCTTATTCTTGATAGATTTAGGTTTAGCTATTTTATCACTCTTTAAGATAAGACCTGATTTAACCAACGTTGTTTAGAGTAGGCAGTTGGTAAGTGATGGCTCATAGGTTTGTTCTTTCTACTAGTATGTATAGTTCTGATCTGTAATAACACATTTTTCTTATTTTTCTGAAATTTAATGTGAAATTATTAAATATTACTGGTGAACTATATTAAGTGAGTACAGATTCAAATAATCTAAATGTGGGGGGTTTTATGATCTTTTTCCTGTAAAAACATTATGATATTTTTATTTATTGTTTGCCCTGATAATTCCAACCGATTTATGAAATTTTGGGGAAATACAAGTGTTAATGTAAGAATGGTGACGCAGGATTTTTAACATAAATGAAACTGCGAGTGGCTTTTCATGCATAATAGCATGTTTTGTTGTTAATTAACTTGCACAATAAATCTTGAAGTTGATGTTATATATTAGTTTAGATTTTAGAAAGCCATTATTATGGTTTGAATTAACATTTTTTCCTAATTGGAAAGGGTTACTGACATTGTTTTTATGAAAAATAAAATAGTTATAGTGATGGGGCAATTGATGCAATCATATATGTGTAGTGATAATTAATAAGTTTGTTAATAAAATCAAAAGTTTGCAGTTGGGCCAGCCTTCACTTTTGATTTTGTCAAGATAGATATGGAAATGGATTCTCTCCCTTCACCATAGATGGCTTGTTTTAAAATTTTCTATTTGGAGTTATATATCTGAATCAGAAGTATCCGCTTGGCTACTTTTCTTTTGCCTGTTATAGGTTTCTGAACTGTCCAAACTGCATGGACGTAACATTATTTATTGAATAGTACATTACATGCTATAATTTTCTCTGTAAAATATTAAGAGAACTTATTTTTTTCTTTATAATTTCTCTATGATTGCTGTCAACAAATGCCAATAACTTATTATCATTCAAAACAAGAAGGCAGGTATATTTTTTTGCTGGGAAAGAGTAGTTGATACGAGTAAACGATTTGCAAGCACACAAAATTGACCATTACTTCCGTAAAACAAGTTGTTTATTGTTTGGGGCAATGAAAGTCAATTGATATTTATGAAGTATGAACATTGAATTTTTTGCAAAGTCAGACATGTTTCCAACTGTATACCTCTCTGACACTTGTTTAGAAAATTCAGCTTAAAAAGGTCTTTGAGCTGGTGTCATGAAAAAGTGGCCATGGCAGATTGTGGTTACAGATTTCTCGCTGTTGTCATTCTATGGCAGTGGTGTGGTGAGCTCTGGTGGCTGCTTTTCATGTGGCAGCAATATTAGAAGCAGTGGTCGTGTTGGAAATGATAAACTTGTAGAAGACAAATGCCATAAAATAGGAGCACGCAGCAGAAATTTAATGAGAGAAATAAAATTGGTTTTGTTTGACCTAACCAACACTATCCCAAATTAAAGAAAGAAAACTAAAACCTAACCCAGCCCAAAGTACTCCCCCCTTTAAACCAACCCAACCAAGGCCCCCGACATTAAGAAAAAACTGATGTACTCTGTGTGTCATCCATAAATCTTGTTCGCTAGTGTACCATGACACCCCAAACAACTCGTCTTCTCTTTAAGATTAGTAGCATGCTCATCTGGCAACCACTTAATGACAACTGTCACCAATGAAATAGTAGCATGTTTTACATAGCCATTTGTAAGAGTGTATGAAAGAGGAGGGTTGTCCTAGGCAGTCAATTACCAATATAAAACATTGTTGAATCTTATTATGTCCAACTACAGTGGATAGGATTTGGACTGAATGCATTAGAGAGTAAGTCGAGGTAGTAACTATTCTTGAAAAAATGGTTGAATCTCATCTTTAAATGGTTTGGGCATGCGTTGAGAAAGCCTGTTGAAAACCCATTAAAGAAAGTACATTAGATGTACTGTAGCCTATCACTAGAGGTGGAGGGAAGGGAACCTTAAATCAAGAAAGGAATGTCTATTTTTTTTTTAATGATGATGTGAGACTGCCAGGATTTTTTTTTTCTGTATTTGGTTAGTTAGACTGAAAATTATTTGCATTTAGTATTTCAGTGATAGTTTACCTTATTGCTGCTGTAAACCTTGGAATTATATTTTTCTGTGCTCTGATTTTTCAGAATATTGTCTCCATTTCTAACATGCATATTTACTTCTTTATTATATTTTGCAGTGCATGTTTGTGAAGCTTTTTCCCTGAAATCCCAATAAACCTCTTAATGGGAGCAGAAATTCTTGCATACCAAAAGAACAGCCTTGATGCTTTGATAAAGGCTATTTAAATCAGTATGACTCTTGAAGATTTCTTTACGTTGACTGAAATGAAAGATGGCCTCACGGCCCCTTCTCGGGTGCAAGAATTGGTTTCTGTAATGAAGAAGGAGCAAGATTGTGTTGTTAAGAATGCTGATGCGACAAGGCAGTGGGCTGCTGTCGCAAGCACTATTGCTGCTACAGAGAATAAAGATTGTCTTGATCTTTTTGTTCAATTAGATGGACTTTGGTTCATCAACAGATGGTTAAAGGATGCCCAAAATTTGGGTGCTGATAACATGAATGATGGCTTCATTGAAGAGTCAATTACTTCAATGTTACGAGCAGTTGAAAAACTATGTCTAGACAGTGAAAAGTCAACTTCATCAGGAATTTCAGTAACTGTCATTAACCTTCTTGGCCATCACAGCTCCAAAGTGCAGGATAGAGCAAGAGCATTATTTGACCACTGGAAGGAAGGTGGGCATGGAGATGCTGAATCTCGAGATAATGCAGATCTTGATAGACTTGACAATGAGAGTGATAAGATTGCAAGGGGGGAAGGCCAGCCATCTTGTGGGAATGATGAAGCTGGTAGTGACAATCATCATACATCTCAACTTGCTGGGGGCGAGAAGTCTCTATTGGGAGACTCAGATAGTCAACTACAAGAGAAAGTTTCTGGTTTTCAGGTACAGAGTGTTGACAATGCACTCCAATCCTCTGTAAGTTTGGATTGTGAAGATATCAAAGAGAAATCAAGCCATGTTGATAGTGCTTCGGCTTCTGTTCAAGAATCTACCTTATGTGAAGGTGAGTCCACATTGGCTGAGACCTGTAACTTACCTGTTACTAGACAAGGCAGTTTCAAAGGACAAGATGATTTACAGTTAAATGACTTTTCCAAAAAGGAAAAGCAAGACCAAGATGTTAATGATCCTCCTGAATTAAGATCATCAGATATCTCTTCTACATCTGCAAAGCCAGATCCTGAACCTGATTCTACTGGTGATAGTGAAGCAAAAGGATTGGAATCTGTTAAAAAAGAACCTGCTTCAGAACATAATGTTGAAAGCAATGAAAATGTCGTTTGTCCTAAAATAATTGTTTCTGGTAGCATGCGAACACCTGCATCTGATGGAATGAGTGAGGGTGATAATGTCAGAGCTACAAATTCTAGTAATCCACAACTTTCCAAAGCATCAGAAAACGATGATGACAGTTGTTCAAAAATGTTTCCCGAGTTATCTGTCACTGGAAATAACTTGGAAAAGCCTGAGATGTCTGTCCTCAAATCCGATTATGTTGGAGCAGTAATTGAAAACAAAGACCAAGAGTCTGATCAAGATGATCATACGTCAAATGGCTCTGGTTCTTTTAATCAGGGAAAAGGTCCAAGAAGCCCTAACATTATTGACAAGGGTTCTGACATGGAAATTGAGTATGGTATTGTTGATGCTTTAGAAGTTGCTCGACTAGTTGCCCAAGAAGTTGAGAGAGAATGTGCCAGTCCTGTAAAGGAAGGGAATGGCCATGGTTCTAATTGTACCACAAATGGTTCTGATTCTTTTAAATGGAGAAATGGTCCCAAAAGCTCTAATGTTATTGGCAAGAGTTCTGAAATTGAACTTGATTATGGTATGGTTGATGCTTTAGAAGTTGCCCGACAAGTTGCTCAGGAGGTTGAGAGAGAAGTTTGCAGCTCTTCAGAGAAAATCTCAGAAGGTGGAATTAGGCAGGCAGGCAGCCTTGACTCTGTAGGAAGAAAGGATGAGGTCACTCATGTCCTGCCTGAGGAAGTATCATCCAGGCAAAGCAACTCTGCTGAAGTGTGTTCTGAAGAGGTGGGACGTCAGAGTGTTTCAGATAATGTCGAGGCTGGGCTAGATGACTTGGACTCCTCGCAAGTTACTGAAGCAGCTCGAGACCCAGGAGGTAATTCAGATAAAAGTCTCTGTACTTTTGATCTCAATGAAGAAGTTGGTTCTGATGATATGGATGTATCTGTAAATGCTATGTCTACTATGCCAATACCAGTTGTCTCTGCTTCAAAACCTGCACAATCTTCTGGGTTACCAATGGCCCCTCTGCAGTTTGAGGGGACCCTCGGATGGAAAGGGTCAGCTGCCACCAGTGCCTTTCGCCCTGCATCACCTCGCAAAAATTCTGACAGTGAGAAGAACGTTGCTGTTGGTAGGAACTGTGAGATTTCCAAGCAGAGGAATTGTTGCCTTGATTTTGATCTGAATGTGGCGGAAGGTGAAGAAGGATTGGTAAAACAACTTGGTGCATCTTCAGGCCTTCCTTCTGGCCAATCATCAGTGGAACTTAGTCCTAAAAGATCAAACAGGTTCGAATTGGATTTAAACAGTACTGGGGATGATGGTGATGGCCAACCTTCAGATCAGAGGATAGAGGGTCCACTCTTTTCTGGAAGAAATGGTTATTGGAGCCCTTCACCTGCGTCATCGTCATCATCAATGCAACCTTCAGTACGGAACATTGATTTGAATGACAGACCGTACTTTCAAACGGATTTAGTGGACCAAGGGCATAGTAAGTCATCTTCGATTATTGAAGCATATAAACGGTCTAAATTGGATGCTCCTGTTATCTCTATTTTAGGTGCCAAGGTGGAAGTTAGTAGAAGAGAATATGTTCCTCAAAGTTTGTCGTTGCCAAATGGCAAGGCTATTGAGCCAGCAATGGATCTTCCATTGTCAGGAGCAGGTGGCATTTTAGGAATGGCTCCCCCACTTTCCTACAATCATTCAAATGCTTTTGGGTATAATGGACTCACATCGGTGCCTGCTTTGTCTTTTTCATCAGCCATGTATGGACCATCTGGTGGCCCACTTCCATACATGGTAGACTCGAGAGGTACTCCGGTTGTGCCTCAGGTTGGGGGATCTTCCTCAACCGTCCTGTCATCTTATACTCAGTCTCCATTTATTGTAAGCATGACTGGCACGCAACTTGGTTTAAATGGGGTTGGATCTTCACATCCAAACTTTGATCTAAACTCCGGATTCACGATTGATGGCCCGAACAGAGACATGTTGACTGCAAGGCAATTTTTCTTTCCTGCTCAAGGCAGAGGTATTGAGGAGCATGTAAGGCCCCTTCCACAATCCTCTAGTTCTGGGGTTACTGTGAAAAGAAAGGAACCGGAGGGTGGCTGGGAAACCTATCCACGTAGCTACAAACATCAGCAACCTCCTTGGAAATAGCTCTAATTTATGCTTTTACCTCTCATCCGATCTGTTTATAATTCTGCTACCGATTGATGCTTATATTATTACTTTAAGTTGATCCTGAGGGTAGGCCAATCCATTGGAATCCTTTTAAGAAGAGAAGAACCAGCCCAATAAAAGGTGGAGGACGATGGATGTAATATGATTCATAAGATTGATTGGCAAAGGTGGAAAATTAGTTTTTTTTTTTCTTTGTTTTTCTTTCTTGCAGTTTCATAGAAAGTCAGTACAAGCCCGTAAAGCTTGTAGATGTAGCTGTAATTTCTCTTTCACATGTCAAAGAAATTATAGGCATAGTATCGTGTTTCTCAATGAGTGGTACTTGAGTACATGGTCACAAATTTAGTTGATTTTAGTGAGTTTTTACTATCAAGTAACAACCTGTATAGTGAAAGCTGTGTTCAAAACTTATCCGCTTACATAAAATAGTCGAACTCGATACACCTCCTGCGTAACACATGCTCTTAATTATGTCCTTGGTTTCACATTGAATGACATTTGTTAGTACCCATTCCCCAATTTGTGCTTTACTGAACCCTTAAATATGACTTTCGAAATCTGCAGTGTTTATTACAAAATATTCTCTAAAAGTTATCAGACACTGTTTTGTTGGAGTATACTAGTCAAATTTCATGGGGTCTTCTGTTTTTTTGTTTATGTGATGTTCTAATTTTGATTTATGCCGGCACGGATATCTTTTCGGGAGCAGTAACTGTGTACATGAGCAAGTTATTTGCGAACGTGGTCCGGACGCTAATAACTTGTTTGTTAAGTTAAATAAATGAATTTAAATTTGGTTTAATTTTTTAAAAGGGTTGAGTTTAAGTTTTAGAGTCTCACATCAAGAGTTTCTTTAATAGTTTGAAAATGTTAACGTGTTTTAACTTAAAAAATAAGACTGGATTTGGCATTGCAACGGGGGAAGGTGGGGAGGGTTTTCTCTCCCCAATTTTCACTTTCGATTTTTTTAATCGTCTCCAATATCCGTCGGAATTAAAAAGTAAGTTTACGTTCCGGTTGGATGTCAGATTTTCCTGTTTTCTTATCCTGTTCATAATCTATATTATTTTTAAAAAGATAATTATATTTATAATAAATTAATTTTACTATATATTTTTTATATAAAAATAAATATTTACAATTTTATAATTTGTAATTATTATTAATTAAATATATGTTTTAATTTATTATATTTATATTAAAATATGTATGTAAAAAAATATTTATTTATTTTTTATTTATATATATAGAATATTTATAACATTATTATTATAATATTGTATTCAAATATTTGAATACTTATAATAATAATAATAATAATATTATTATTATTATTATTATTATTATTATTATTATACTATATTCAAACATTTGATTACATATATAAGTTAATTTATTTTGAAATTGTCAATTAAAAATATGAAATATATAGTTTATAAGAAAATATTTAATAAGTTAATTTTTATTTAATTAGTTTGAAGTAATAAAAGTTTAAATTATCAATTCTTTTTAATCCTTTAAAATATAATTATTTTATTAAGATAAAATTTGATATACGACAAATAAAAATAATAAGATTCAAAAAATATGACATAATAAAGTCTAATAAATATAAATTATAAATAAAATAATATTAGTTATTACTAATATTTATGTAAAATATATAGAAAAAGATAAAAAAATATATATTTTTGTGTTCATCAAATTAATTGAAAAGATTGAAAAAAAAAACAAATTAATTGGAAAGATTAAGGAAATGTAAAAAACTGAAAGGTAAGAGAAAAAGAATAACGTAATAAACTAATCGATATAAAGATTAAAAAAGACAAAATAATTAAAAAATGGATAAAAAAGTAAAAATAATAAAATATAAATAAATAACCTTATATGTAATAGAAAAAAAATACTTTTAACATCTTAATATTTTAAAATTTAAATTTAAATATAAAGTTGACCGGAAACGGGTGAAAATTGTATTATCCATCCCGCGCCCCAATTTTTTAAAGTAAGAAAAATCCGTCCTCGGTCAATTCAGTTTTTTCGTTAAACTTGAGGCGGAGACATATCAATCTCACGAATACGAATTTAATTGTCATTTCTACGTCATATAAGCTCAAGTCAAGTGCTCATGACATTCAAACATTAGCCAGACCTACTAAATTGACTACCGGTTAATTATTTTACTGTTTTCTATTTTTAATCAATTACATGTAAAATAGTAAAATTGTTTCTATTTTTAATCAATTACATGTAAAATAGTAAAATTGATACAATCTTCTTTATTACCTTCGTGGAAAAATTTTAACATAATACTTTTATAATTAAAAGTGAAAATACAAAATAAAAAAGTAGTCTCCTAACCTTAATATTCATTTCTCCAAGTCATGTAGGCTAAACTACTTAAAAAACATGACCATTAAAATTATGAAGAAAATAAAAATAAATATTCATAAAGTCTATTGATAATAATGAGTAAAGATGAATATATTTATATAATCTAAAAATTCCAACAAATAAGTGTTATTATTTAACTTGAAAAAAAAAATCAAAGAATGTTTTTAAATAGTTCTATTAACACATTCCCTCCCCCCCCCCCCCTTCCCCCTTTTTCTCTTTTTCTTCTTACATCATATCTTAATCAAGTTTTAATTTTTATAATTTAAATTAAAAAAAAATTAAAAAATTTAACTTGTCAAACTTACATTCTGTAAAAGAATTATCTCTCTAAACTTATGTCTTCTTTTTAAGGTTTATCACATTTTTTTTTTTTAAATCTAAACACATCATAATACTTTTAAGAATAGAACACTTTTGTGTTATAAGAAGTTAATTTTCAGTAAACTTTTCTGTATCATTTATATAGGCATAACTAGTTAATTAGGTAAATTTTAGCTTTTTACCATTTAATTTAAAAGGGTTCCAAATATAAAGTTTTAACTATTTAAACTTCATTTCTATACAATCACTATTTCTCTGTACTTGTAAAACATTTGTCTTCTTCTTAAGATCTCTCACCCCTCTTTTATATTTTTCTAGATAACACAGCACAATACTTCTATTAAATAATGAAATATTATTTATCTAATAAGAAGTTAAATTTGAATAAGTTCTTTTTGAGTTTTACTCTGTGTTGAGTAAGGGGTTCGCATGTGGGCAAAGCTCTTCTAACGTAGGATTGTAATGATGTCTTTTAGTTTGTTGATGGGGGAGGGGAGAGGGATGGAAATTCTAAATTTAGAGAAGTGAAATGAAAGATAAAAGAAGCTAGTAGTCATTTCTGCAGTTTCTTAGGTTAGAATATTTAGTTGATCACTATGTTTGAATTGCAAAAATCTTGGATTTAAATTGAGTTTGGTAGAATAAATGGGTGAATCTAAGTGATCATGACATGCTATTTTGATTTAGAATATATTATTATAACAAAACTATAATAGAATTTATTATGAATCAATCATTTGGATTACAACTAGTTCTTATTATGTATAATTCTTGGATCAAATGATAGATGATCCTAAATAACTTTCAAATAATTTGAATTAAGTTTGAGTTTCTATAAAGTTTTTAGTTTTTGGAGAATTCGCTCCTGCAACAATTCGTGGCTTAAACAAAAATACAACTAAGAGAAAGGAATCTATTATAAAGTTTTTTTCTCAAGCAAAGAATTTGTCAATTTTGTGGTGATACTGTAAAAAGAATAATCTTCATCTTTTTTTCACTCATGTGAAGAACTCTCACAAAAAAAAAGAGAATTGTCTCAATCTTATTTTCCCTCAAATGAGATTTTGGGCGTTTAAACGAAGGAGTATTTTCTAAAGCGATGAAGATTTTTCCTCAAGCAGAAATGTAGTAAGAGAATGAAGAATTTTAGGAGTCGCTCAAGTGATGGGACATTCCTTAGTCTAGTAGGTGTTATATATATATATATATATATATATATATATATATATATATATATATATATATATATATATATATATTAATGTATAGATTAAAATAGTGACATATTACAAATTTGAATGATAAGATGTGAATTATGGATAGATTTGAACATACTTATTTATAATATAAGAAAATGTATATTATGTATTGAATTGAAGATCTGAGTGAGATAGCATGACTATACTAATATTTTTTGTAATATAAAAATATAACTGTATTTAACAAGTCAAGAAGATTAACCTATCACATAAGGGAATGTTTTTTTAATTTATTACAATATTAACTTATTAAAGATAGTATATTAATTTAATAGATTATTAATCATGAGTAAAATGTAAATTATCCATAATTATATGAATGGATACGATGTAAAGAATGTGTGATGAATATTTTGTGGCACTAACTTATTCCTTCCGATAGTTTGTGTGTTTAGTGTTTTGACATAAGAATTTATAATCTTTTAGGTTATCGTCTCATTAGAAAAAAAAAAATTTATTATTTTTCTTTATTATTTAAATATTTTAGTGATATGTAATTTAACAATAAGAGAGAAGATATGATATAAATTTGCTATTTATTTATTTATGTTATCATACAATTTAATTCTCTTTTAATTTTTTTAATGGAATGTTACATTTTACATTATAAATAAGTAAATGTTATTAAATTTTTTAGAATTATGAACTTGTAATACAATTTAGCAGTATAATAATTTATCTGTTATCTGCTCTACTTTTGGCAAGAAACTACTCTCCGAAAGGACCATGACTTTTGAGGTGTACATGTCTTACGTTGGTGAAGACCAATCCAACATCTTACATAAAACCAAAACCTCCTTTACTGCCACCTCATTGTTCCATATAAAACAAAATTAAAACTTCTGAATAAGTTTTTTTTTTTAACTCGTTTTCATTTAAAATTACCAATATTTTATATATTTTTCATTAAAAATAAAACTAATTATATAAATTATACTTTGATTCTTTTATCAAATCCAAATGAGTTTACTATAATTAAAATTTAATTACTTGTATTTATAACATTATTGTTGTCCTAAAGTTATATGTCTCTTTAGAATTTTCCATAACACCAATAAGACGTATATTTTTATTTATCTTTCAATCAATCTTCTGATATTTTAACTCTTTCAATTTTTCTTATCACTATTATATTTATTATTTTAATTTCTATTAGTTGCGTTTGTACCTGATCAAAAAAATTAAAATACTCTTTGTAGAACATTAAAATATCATTTTTAATCATTTTTACACGAACCAATTATACTATTTTTTATACAAAATTTACTTAACTATTATATTTTTTTTAGTTTATATATATATATATATATATATATATATATATATATAGAATATCAATTAATTGAATTACAATTAACTCAAATTTAATGTTTAACTTAAATTTAATTCGATAATTGGCTACTATAAAGCAAATTTTAAATTATACTATTTTCAAGTTGGTTCAGTTTAATCCTGGAGTAGTGTAAAAAAAATCATAGTGTAATTTTATTAAAGTTCGAAAGATATTAGGAATAAATTGTTATAACTAAAGACGTTATATAATTGTTAATTAGGAGAGACCTAATTATGATTAAAAAAATGAAAGTCTTTGTTAAATTTATAATTTAACCAAAAATTTAATACACCAGAAAATACCACACATGTAAGTCCAACTTCACCAACCATTTATTTATTTATTTATTTTTTCTGAAATAGTTCTTCTTCATCATGTCTTCTTTCCTAACTCCATTCACATCAGTGTCACCAACCCCAACATTCTCTTCTCTCAGCATATCTCATTGCCTTTAAGAATTATTTACTAAAATAATTTAACAAAAAGAAGTTCATTATTTTAATAATGCAGTATGTTTGCATGTTATAAAGTAATTCATTTCAGCCAAATTAAAAATAATTACCATTTCTTTAAAAATTTCAATCAGTTGACATTTTCTAAAAGACACAAATTAGAGTATTTTGGTACTGAAGAATATAATGCACCCAAATCTCAAACCTGGAAATTGAAATTCGAACCCCAACAGAAACCAATGAACACTTTCCTTCCATTACATTAAAAAAAAAAATACATAATTCAGATAAATCCCCAAACCACGATATGCATATCATCACATTTCACAAGATATATACACATGTATTTTTGGTTAAAAAAAGGAAAGAAAAAAACAAAAACAAACAAACAAGGAGCTTTAATTTTAGAGAATATATATATATATATATATATATATATATATATATATATATATATATATTACGAACTATATATCTATAATGGAGCCACGAAATTAACTTCCACAATTTATCTCTATATATGTATATATTTGAGCCTAACTAATAAGAAAAGGGGAAAAAACAAGAACAAGAAAGAAAAGGAAAAAAGAAAAAAGTAATTAACTAAACCCATTTTTTTGTGTGGCATATTATGCTGATGACGAGGGATTCATTAATTACAAAGTTGTGTGAGGGAGATTCGGTGGGAGTCGGAAGCGAACCTGAGAGGCCGGGGAGCGCACGGCTACGCCGTGCCAGCAGATGCCGCCCTTGCAGGGCTCGTGCGCGTGATGCGGCGGTGGATATGGCGGTGGAGGGTGATCGGGGGCGAAGGCGTAGGTGGCCTTACGAGAGACGTCCCAGGTGAGCGTGGCGACGAGAATGAGTGCGACGGTGGCAGTGGAAACGAGCAGGACGAAGGCGCCGCCAAAGCTCCGTCCGCACACGAAGCCATACGCCTTGATGCAGGCGATCACCGCCACATAGAGCACCGTTAGGTTACTCACCACAGCATCAGACACAGCCATAGAGAGAGAGCGAATGCTTGAGTGTGTGGGTCGATTTGGGTGTGGATGTGGCTTTAATGCGTCGTCGTCTTGGGAATGTTTCAGGGGTTTTAACTTTAATTATTAGGCCCAATGATCGGGAAATTACAAGAATGGGTCCTATTGTCTCATATCTCTCACAGTAATTATTCTAAAGATAAATTTTAGAAGCATTGTCATAAGTATTAGTAATTATTATACGTGATTTTAGCTAATTACATTTGGAATTTAATCTTAATGATATGGTTAATATTTTTTTAATGGATCTGAATTATTGTTATGTAAAAATAATTTTAAAAAATCTCATAGACATTTATTATATTTATCAATTTTTATTTAAACACGTGGATTAAGAAAAAAGGTAAACTTGAAATATTAAAGAAAAAAAATGTAAAAAAATTTGTGTTGCGATTTTCATGGCGTGGTTATTTTCTACAAGCACCGTCGTGCTTATCTACTTGGATTTTCAGAAGAAGGAGATCCGAACATATCCACCGGGTTCGTAACTTATCGTTGTGTTGTTATCGTACGCAACCGCCGATTTTTTTAACTCCAAGGAGATAACGCCACGTGTTTTTCATGTCTCTTTTCGCGTGACGTGGCGCTTGTTCTTCTTTTTAACCTTTCCTTTACCGTATTCTGATGGCAAGAGGAGGAGCAATGCTTTTTTCAAGCTAACAGAAACAGAGAAAATAGAACCATCAAAACTAGTAGACAATCTATCCTTTTTAACGTATTTTGTACGGATTATACTAACAACTTTACTTCCCATACCGACTAAAAACATAATGTAAAAATCCATATCGCAACAAACAATGAGGAGTGGTTCCCCTGCGTCCATATTTTCCATCCACCAGTTAAATATCCGCCCAATCTGGCATATTTTATTAATTGTTCTCGTGGGTGGACTACGACTATCAATGTGAGACAATTTTGCAAATAGAATAGTGGAAATCAGTTTTAATGCATTGGGGATTAGTGAGTTAGATGATAGACTTATTAATTTATATTTTTTTTTGTTTTTAATTTTTTTAATAAGTACTACAGAATTTTAGGACTAAAATACAATGATGTGATGGTATAAAAATATTGTTATATAATTAAAATGTAATAAATATTATAAGACAACTTAAGCAAGATGGTGTGGTAGTCGAATGCAGTGGTGCAATAAATGTAATGACGAAACAAACACGGTGACACGATTGAAATGTGAGACTGAACAACAATGACACGGTGACATAACAAATGTTGTGATACGATTGAAATACGAGACTAAAATACAACAAATATTGGTGCGGTAAATGGATGACAAGCGGCCTAGGTGTAACAATGAATGAAATGATACAATGAACAATTAATGATAAGCGTCTTAGAGTTGACTTGTAGTAGCAGCATGGAGTAGAGGTAGAGAGACATGATAACATCAATTATGGTTACTAAATTATTATAATTATTTTTAAATTTAAAATGAATAGTGGGTTGTGAGTCAACCCACCATAACCTGGCTCAAATGAGTGTGTTCATTTTTAATCTATTATCAATTGAATTGAAAAAAATCAAATTTAATCTGCTCGAATTCGTGGTAAGTCGGATTAACTCACGAGTTCTAACTCATATTGACACCCTTAGGCAGAGCATTTGGGGGCCATGACCCCCAAATTTCAATTATTTTTTAAAATGAAATTATAATTTATATTTTTTTAATAAATATATATAAAAAATTTTAATGGTGGTCCCCCTAATCTTACAAGTTGGTTTCGCTTGTGATTGTTATCTTATTGAGATCGGTAATGAAATTATAGTCAAATTTAAAAGTTAAGAAATGTTAAAATTGGGGAAATAATAACGTAAGAAAACAAGTGAATCGGGAAGAACTAGGTTCCTCTTGTTGAATAAGGAAACAACAACGAAGGAAATAGTTGTCGATGAAACATTCATTTTTTTAGGGTTACCAGAAAGATTATCCTACATTTGATTCTAGAAAAATAGGAGAGGAGATCAACCATTCTTGCCATTGTAGTTGTCGAAGATAGACAACATCAGTTGCACCATAGTTGACTTACGTTCCACCTCCATTGACTTCCACTATTTTCATTGAGTTTTAATTGTGTTCCTTTGTTCTATGTAATTTAGATGGTTCTATCATATTGTCCATTATTCTTATGAGGTGGTTGTAATTTGGATTGTTCCGAAGAGTGGTAAAGAATTGATTTTAGTCTTTTTGTTTAGAATAATTTGTTTTTCTTTGACCATTGATGTGGAAGATGGGCATTATACTTTGAATGTTTTGATTCTATATTGTTTGGTTAAAGTAGGCTTATGTATTACACTTAGAATCATAAAACAATTGGTAATCTAATTATCGCTGGTTCATTCTTAGAGACGCTAGTCCATCAATGTTTCCTGTTGGTATCATAAGCAAGGTTATTGTTGCAATTTGCTTAACAATGTGATTATTTATGTTGTTGTGTGAAAAATTATAGTTAAATTTTGTAGTTGGAGCCAAATCCCTCAGTTAACCTATTTTTTCTATTTTCAAACTTTTAATTTTTTATTCGTTTATATGAAGCATTCTTGTTATTAAGAGTAAAAGTTTGAGATGCTTATTATTGACATCAAATAATTTATAAGAAATGATGGGTTTTACATATGTTATATGTGGGAGGTTTTGAGATAGAGATAATAAATGTCTATACAGTGACGGAACTTGACAATTGATCTTGAGGGGGTCAGATAATATATGATGAATAAATAATAAATGAATATGAAAAGATAAAAGAAAATGAAAGGGTGAGAAGTCAAATTTGTAAATATACAAACAATTATATTTAATAATCATTAAGTTTGGGGGACCAAAATCATAAATGTTAATGTAAGTTACAAAACTTTGGGGGGTCATGATCTTCCTTATCTCCTAAGAAGATCTGCCACTGTATTAATGAGTTTTGTTTCTCGTTTTTATGTGGTGTAATGCTAAGTCATGCTTATTTGCTTTTAGATATTCTATCATGTAGGTTTTACTTGGTTGGATGTAGATTGTTTGATAAAATGTCTGGTTATTTGCTTAAATCAGTTGTTCAAATTTTGTTTTGCCTTTTACAAGGTTTAATTTACTTATTATTATGTAAGGAATAACATTTGGTCATAAGGAAGGAAGGAAAATGGTGTCTGGGCCCTATTGAATTTGGTAAAACAACTTACTATAATGCCATGTTTCAGTTTCTAAGTCTTATTAGAAGGTAAGTCTTACTCTCTAAAGAGACATTAGATAGAACATGTGTTTTATTATGTTGATTTGTAGGTTTTCTACTAATTTGAGGTATTATATTTGTCTTACATTGCTTTTGAAATGTAGGAAGGTTGCTATTATCAATTTGGATCCCTTTAATTATTCATTATCGTATCTTTTCCTCTACCTTTTTTAGCTTTTTGCTCTTAAAATTACACATTTTAGTTGCATAGTTCAATTGATATGTGTCTTGTTTTAGTTGTATAGTTCAATTGTTTGGTTTTCCTTAATGAAGAATATAACTATGAATGTCCTATGAACATCGAGGATCTTGTGAAACTAAGTGATGTAATGGAGGAACATTCACTTGGTCCAAATAGGAGTAAACAACATCCTTTTGATAGTGTCATATGCTAAGATGCCTATAATATATGACTAGGATGATTGTTTTTACTTTTAATTCAAGAGTGATAAAGTTAATGTCAATATTACATTAGTATATTTATTAAAAGCTTAATAGGTTAGTTGCTTCTATTGTTCGGTCACTTGGTGTCTTTTTTGCATTATCCATGTTGAATAAGAACTGTGATTCTGACTATGACAAACTCATTTTATAAGAACATCTAAAAAGTTTTTTTTATTATTTTGAGTAAAATCGGAAAATATTAAGCATAAAAAAAAACATCATAGGAAGATATAAGTAAATGAATATTACTACCAGGTGGGAATGATAAGATTTCTCTTTTATCCCCCTATTTCCTTAAGAATTTCATAAAAAAAGGAAGAAAGACAGATTCATTTGCATACTTATACTCATATTTCTATTTAAAAAAAATCCCTTAAATGTCTACTAATTTGTTCTATAAAATAACTAAAAACAGTTTTTTTCTATTTGATTAAAGACATTAGTGGACTATAACGGATGGAACTAGAAGATAATAACTTTTTTGCTTATCATAATTTTAAAGTTTATGAATTGAAGCTTGTTTGTTTGTATTAATTACTTATTTTTAGTATTGATGTGTCCTCATTTCAAGATTATTTGTCCACTCATTTTAATTACAACAGCAAATGATCGTGTAAAGGCATACACATCTTTGAACGAGTCTTCTATAGACTGCTCATTCACCAACTTAAACAACCAATTGAGCAGTTTCCCTAAATCTCTCTAGAGCAGTTTCAGGAGGTAGTGGTATGACTTGGAGACAGTGTAATGATGGCAGAGGATATGGCTAGGGAGGGTGGTGCTGAGGCTGTAGTAGATGGAGGCAATAATGGAACAATGGAAACTGAAATAGTATAGTTGAAAAAGAGGAACAAACAAACGACGATTCCAAGGTGATTTATATAAAAAGAATGACAAATGACAATTTATTTTAAATTAATTTAGTATAGTTATGTAACTTTATTGAACTTCAGTTTTTTTTTTAATTCAGGTAAATTATATTAATTTTGTTAGCAGGCTAACTTCGATAACTTAAAATTACTTTATGTAACTCCTGTTCATATGTGTTATATGGTGGTTGTAATTGGAAACATGTGGTGTTGTAATTTTGGGTAAATATATTGGTTTTTTTATTGAATATATAATAGGAAGTATTGATTTCTGCAAACCTATAAAAGAATATTGTCATACTATAACAACATTTTATCCTTATTGTCCTAGAAATATTTAGCAGACATCAATATGGTTGTTAACGTTCAACATGACTTATATGAAATTCAACAAGTTAATAATAATGAGTACCCAAACAAATGAAAGGTATGACATTTATGAAGACAAAATGAATAGCAAATAAACATATGTATTTGGACTAAATTAACTATGATACAATAACATATAATGCCAACTCCTACAAAAAAGTCACCATCTATTCCATATTGCGACAAGTTTTCAATCATTATTGGTTAATACAATTCAAAATTTTGGTTATTCCATTGCAAAATTGGTTAAGTTAGTGGTCATGTGAAAAAATTAAGTTAAATGTATTTCGTAGCAAATTCATACAACAAATATACTGATTCAAGGTCTTAAACCCTACCTTGGCACATGAGGGCATGACATAACACTTTGGTGTCAATAGGTCTAGTGTCCTATCTGACCAAATACCGATAGTTAACATAGTTCAAAATCTTGGTTAATCCTTCATAAAAAAATTGGTTAAGTAAGTGGTTCTATGAAAATAATAACTTGAAGGCATTAAGTAATGAATCTATACAACAAATACATTGATTTAAGGCTCTTAGACCTTGCTTTGGCATAAGGGACGTGACATAGAACCTTGGGGTCACTAGGTTGAGTGTCACATATGACCAAACACAGTTGGTTAACACAATTTAAAATCTTTGTTAATCCTTCAAAAAATTAGTTAAGTTTAGGGTCATGTGTAAAAATAAAGATGAGTATATTAAGTAGTGAATTAATGCAATAAATGCACTGATTCATGTCTTTAGACCCTACTTCAGTACATGAGGGCATGACATAACATCTTCGTGTCACTAGGTTCAATGTCTCATATGACAAAACACTGTTATTTAACTCAGTTCAAAATCTTGGTAAATATTTCACAAAATTGGTTCAATTAGTGATCATGTGAAAATATTAAGTTCAATAGTGAAATCCATGCAAGAGATCTGTTGATTTAAGGCTTTCAAACCCTATTTTGGCACATGGGGGCATAACATAACATATTGGTGTCACTAAGTTCAATGTCCCATATGACCAAACACAGTTGGTTGACATAGTTCAAAATCATGGTTAATCCTTCACAAAATTGGTTAAGTCATTAGCCATGTAGAAAAGATAACTTGAGGGTTGTCAGTAGTAAGTCTATCCAACAAATGCATTAATTCAAGCCTCTTAGACCCTGCTTTGGCACATGAGAGTGTGACATAGTACCTTGGTATCACTAGGTTCAGTGTCCCATCTGACCAAACACAATTGGTTAATACAATTCAAAATTTTGGTTAATCCTTAACAAAATTGGTTAAATGAGTGGACATGTGGAAAAATTAAATTAAGTGCATTCATAAGTCATTCCATGCAACAAATACATCCATTTAAGACTCTCGGACCTTACTTTGGCACATGGGGGGCATAACACCTTGGAGTGTCTCATCTGACCAAACATAATTGGTTAACACAATTGTAAATCCTGGTTAATCCTTCATAAAATTGGCTAAGCTAGTGGACAATTGGAAAAATTAAGTTGAGTGCATGCATTAATAAATTCATGCAACAAATGCATTGATTCAAGACTCTCAAACCTTGCTTTTGTACATGAGGGCATAACATAACACCTTGGTGTCAATAGGTTTAGTGTCCCATCTAACCAAATATATTTAATTAACATAGTTCAAAATCCTGGTTAATCCTTCACAAATTTGTTAAGTTAATGGGTAAATGGAAAAAATAAGTTGAGTGCATTCATTAGTTAATTCAAGACTCTCAAACCCTACTTTAGCACATGTAGACATGACATACCACCTTGTTGTCACTAGGTTTAATATCCTATTTGACCAAACACAATTGGTTAACACATCAAGATCTTGGTTAATCCTTCATAGAATTAGTTAAGTAAGTGGTTGTAGACCCCAAATCTTGCCCGGTCTCATAATAAAGACCAGAAGACCTCATTTTCAAAGATGGATGAAGCTTAAGAAGCCATTAGGAGAGACTATTAGGCCCCATACTAGGATAGGAGGAATTTTCTGCATGTAAATAAGGATTTTTGCCTTTTAGGGTCGAGACAGCCGTCTCGCTTCTCGGGACTGCCGTCTCGCCACTTCTGCAAGTCGAGACCGTCGTCTCATTTGGCGAGACGACCCTCCTGATTGGCAAGACGACCTTCTCGCCATTTTTGCAAGGCGAGACGGTCGTCTCGACCTGACAGGCGCGGATCCCTATAAATAGTCGCGCCTTCACCCTCATTTCACACAGTTCTTCCATTCTCTCTCTTGCAACTTCTTAAAATTCTCTTCTTAGAACCCCTCCGAAGCATTTCCGGAGTTTCTGAGAGTTTCTTTAGAGTTTTTATAGCGTTTCCGAGAGTTTTTTCCGGCGTTGTAAAGAGTGAAGGGTTGCCAAAACGCATCCTAATTTTCAAGAAATTAATCAACGAGCTTGCTTCAGAGGTTTCTTCTCTCTCTCCCTCTCTTTATTTCCTTACTTTTATATTAATTGTGTAATAGATATTAGGGTCATGTAGTCATTATTTTAATTCCGCAAATAAAAGGGTAAAAGCGTCTTTTTACAAGTTTATTTATTAAAATAGCTGGCCTATCATAGGGAACCCGAAAGGGGTATCGTAAGGGAACTAACCCTTCCCTTACACGTAACTAACTCCCTTACCTAAACTCTGGTTTTAACGACCAAAGTTAGTTTTCAAAAACTAACGCTTTTTTTTCACTCTTTTTTCGATGTTTCCGGTAAAAACATCGATGGTGGCTCCATAAGAACTCTTCAAAATTAGTTCTTGGGTTAGCCCGGTTATCGGACAATCCAAGAACACTTTTTCGAAAACCTTGCCTCTAGGTTCAGCCCGGTTATCGGACAACCTAAAGGCGTTGTAATCACACCCATAAAATGCGAAAATCAAAGTAGTCGAAACCATCGTGTCGCTCCGACCGCCTCATTTTGATGGCGGCTCGGAAGGCTGGAGAGTGGGGACCCTATAATGGGGACACCTTGGGGGCCTTAGCCTTGGTGAGAACAGTTAGAACCTACCTTCGCCAATGCACTTTTCTGCAGGAAAACCCTACCTTGTGATTAAAACGACTTCTCGCCTGTTTGCGGATGATTGAATTGTGTGCGCATTTGTTTGTTGCATAGCATAACCAAACAACAGAAAAATCACAAAAAATATTTTTTTTGCAATAAACATCCTTATCTCGGACAGTTTGCCTTTTAGCTAGCCTGGTTTCAAGTTCTTTGTAAGCTAAGTAGCCATGCAGTCCGACATAAGAGATAAGGGATGCTAAATACTATTCTTTCGCATAAAACCATTTTTTATCTCGGACAGTCTGCCTTTTAGCTAGCCTGGTTTCAGGTTCTTTGTAAGCTAAGTAGTCACGCAGTCCGACAGAAGAGATAAAATGCTATAAAATAAAGATAATAAAAATCAAAATAAAAATCCGATTCTAAAACAATAAATGGGACCTTGTTCATAAACGTTATACTCATAAATCATTCATATAGGTAGTTTATTTTCTAAAAAAATAAAATACGCAAATACCATACATAATGTAGAAATAAAACATGATAAATAGGAAAATAAACACTCACATACCTACAATAAGCATCATATTCATAAAACATGCATTTTGGTTTTAGAAAATGGAGGGGACTAGTATACAGTTGAAGAAGGTGGACATTCCCCGATACCATACTGAGAAATTGGAACGACTTTGCGCAACCATGCCACCAGAGATCCGCTTCGACTTTGAAAAATCCTATGGACGAATTCTCGACCTGCTGAAGATCTATGTCGATCAAGTTTTCATCAGGGTATTAGTTCATTTCTAGAACTCTAGTCTGCGCTGTTTCGAATTTCCACAGTTCGACATGGTGCCCACCTTGGAGGAGTACAAAATTATGCTGAAATGACCCAAATCAGCCAGGGTCCGTATCCGCCACGAGACATATACTCCTGCAGCACAAGTCGCTGCCATCATCCGACTACCATTCCGACAGACTACCCTGATAGAAAAAGGGAACATCCAGGGTTGGAAAGTCTCAATGTTAGAAGGCCATATGTCCGACTTGGCTGAAAAGGCAGAATGGGTCGCTTTCAACAAAACCCTGGGCTTAATCATATTTGGAACGATCTTGTTTCCCTTCCACCTCGACACAGTGGATCAAGCCGTCATGGATGCCTTCTTCGCCTGGGACGTGAACTCGAAGAGTCCCTTGCCTGTAATTCTTGCCGACACCTTGCTCTCGATGGAATTCTGCCGCCAGAAGCAAGGAAAAACACTTCGTTGCTGCTCTTCACTACTCTTTGTGTGGGGCATCACACATTTTTACGCCTCTAGTCACATGGGTATGTTCCCCGACCCTTTGAGGAGCTTCTCTAAAATCCCTCTCCAACAACGCTTAACCTCGGAGTGGAAGGACGAGTTGGAACAATGGGACGCCAACCATTTATCCTGGGTCTGCCCTTGGTTCCGACCCGGTCCAGTCCTCATCAGATGTGGAGATTATCCGAACGTACCCTTGATAGGACTCAGGGGTTGCATAACCTATTCACCTAGAGTAGCTATGAGACAACTCATGAGGACTCAAACTACAATTTCTCG